TCTGGATTGTTAAGTAATTACTGTATAGTAGCAATGTAATCATGTATTTATATGCTCTATATGTAAGTAATGTAGATGATGCCAATTGTTGGTTTTCACACGGACGTCACTAAAATTCAAACTACATAACTATCGATCCTACTGAGATTTTACTTTCATGATGCATTAGAGCAGCTGAAAACCAATTTTCATGCAAACTGTCGCATCAAAAGGGTTCTTGGTTTTGTGATATAGCACGCTTGAATTTTTAAGCTTTTGCGTAACGTGGTATTTACATGATGGCCGAGATAGCTGTCTTGTAGGTTAAAAAAGTGATGTATTTCAAATTCAGCGAATTTTGCTATCTAAACAGTTCATGGATTAGAAAAAGTATTACTTTAATGTTTATGAGTTGCTCGAGGAATAAATTCACGCTTTTGTACCAAAACTCGGTAACAGATGTTTTTGCTGGTTTCCGTCCGCCATGTTCGTGCTCATCCAGGAGGACCAGCATGGCGTCTCCATACAAATCTCTATAAATTTGGGTAAAACATTTCTTCGGATATCTCGTACGAAATATTCTTGTGACCTGAATCTTGGCGAGGGTCTTTGTATATTTAACCTCCTTTCATTTCCCAGATTCTGGACTTTATCTATTGAACGGTTTTGATTTTTATTTTGATCTATTTTGAATGGCGTGACACTGAAAACCAGCAATAAAAAAGGTCCAAAATAATAATAATGATAATAATAACAACAATAAAAAATCGTCCTTGCAAATCGTCCCATTTTAATATCGGTCTAAGATCCTGTATTTGAAAGACGATATCTCGACCGTTTTATATTCTCAAAAGTCATCGGTTGAAAGCTCAATTTCTTCGTTTCAAAGTATTTTTACCAGCGGTTCTTGTATGGGACAAAATTTACCTTATACTAGACAACATATTCGGTCCTTCTAGGCGCGTCTAGTCTATGCAGCTATTTTGTAGGCTTGTCTCTCCTCGTAAGGAGCATGTTGGTGCTATGCAAATTTACAGTTTTCTCTTTAGTTTTCGGGTATTTTTTCGCCACTTCTTTCGCGACTTTTTCCGCGACTTTTAATTTTCACGACCTTCTCGTGCATGACGGGCTCCGTACACCTCTACGTCACTGCTCATCCGAAAAAAATGTCACTGTGTTTGTCTGTTTGCGACCGGATTGCTCATAGACCAATTAACGACCATGGGAGATAGACTAAAACGAGAAAGTATTTAAAAAGCAGCAACTGCAAGCAATTGTGATAACATTTAAAATGGCTAGCCAACGTCAGCGTTAGATACCGGACGATATAAAAGATAAGAACAATTCACCTGTACCAGCATTTCGCTGGTTTTGTTAGCCTGCGTAGCAAGCGTTTCCATTAGAGTTATTGTGCGAAACTTAGAGAGGGAGCAAAAAAAAAATGGTGGAACCCTGTCATTCCCTTTTTTTTTTTTGCTCTCGTCCCAACTTTCTCGACTAACTCGAGCGGAAACGCTTGCTATGCAGGCTAGGGCCTTGGTTAAACAAAAGAGGTATATGATAAACTAGCGCCTCTAGTCTAACAATTTATTTACTTTACATTGTCAGTGACGGTCAATATCTAATTTATCGAATTCAGATTTCCTAAAACATATCCTGCGTTTAACCTTATCTCCGCCACGTTCAGTTTTCCTTCAGTATTATTTATAGGTATTTGCGTCATTGAACGAAACATTTAAAGTATAAAACGGCCTCACTAGCCTATGATCCAGACAAGTCTTTTGGGAAGCGAATCAAGAAGCTCTTGGTCACGAATAACTAGCTTGGTGAGACAGGAGATCAAAAAAATTGAAAATTTAGCAAAGGTAAAAGATGTAAGTACAGTCAGGTGAAATTTATTTCGTACGCGACAGTAAAATGGGTGTAGTACGTTGTTACGCTGACTTCCTTGGTTAGACCAGCTAGTACGGTTCATTATCTGTTGATCAACAAATACTCCAGCTCTTAAAGAGTAACAGAGAACCCCCGGGGGGGACTCCGCATATGAAAGGGGTGGGGATGTTCGTCGAGAATTTTTAATTAAACCTCTATAGGAGACCGATCTGGGCGTGGCCCAAGCTTTTTTTGACCCCTAAAAGACCATATTAAAACACAGACAAATGAGAAAACTTGGATTATATGAATGGAGTAGATAAAGCGAATTAAAAATATACATATAAAATATACATTTCTATATTTTTTCGCGTGCAACCCTAAACGAGACCTTCACGACTTAATATTACACCCCTAAGCGAGACGACGAGCATCCCCACCCCTTTCATATGCGGAGTCCCCCCCGGGCAGAGAACCAGCAATTTGAAGACCAATTAAGCGTGTTTATGCCAGTGTATATCCGCGGACGAGCCCGCTATAACTTGTAACCGATCGAAATGTTCAGCTCTCGAAAACAAATCGTTTTGTTTGTTGGACGGAACGTTACCCGCTGCTTGTAGTCGGACAAGTCATTCAAATCGCGCGGACAGTTGAACAGCCAATAAAAATCTAGCATCAATGTTGCTAGCCAATAAGATTGAACAGAATAGTTCATGGTAGCAGTTCAAGACCACGAACAAACTTCACTAAGCAAGTTTTCAAGAGTCAGTTGGACACATTTAATTTTTCTTAAAAATGTATATTTTCTCCAAAAGTTGTAAGCCTTTTTTGCTTTGGAACCTGTACGGTGATGTAATACGAACTTTGTACTTTAATAAATACCGTATTTATTCGAATAAGCACCCAACCTTGAATTAGCGCCCATCTCGAATAAGCGCCCAACTCCACCCCAACCCCCTCCCTCTTTCACTCAAACCAGAATAAGCGCCCAATCTTACTTTTGCCGCTCTGAGTCTAACATTTATTAGAGGTCATAAAGTTTTGCCACTGTTTCATGCAGATGGAGTAATTATCGGGTTACCCCGCGGTCAAGGTCAACCTTCCAGAATTTGGAATGTACAATATAATTGGCTAAGCTTGGGAAAGGAATGTTGTCTTCGGTTGAGCCGGCGTTTGTGGGGAGAGACGAAAAACGAACTCCCCTAAAAATGCCTGCGTGGGAGGCTACGCGCTAGGCCAATTTGAAATTACACGCCTGATTACTTCCTGAATTGTACTCCACTCAGTCCCAATGGGCGAATCTTTGCCGACGTCATTGTTTACATTGTTCCTCATTAGCATACGACTTAACTCATAGAAGCGGTGGCCGTATATATGAACTAAATGCAGAAGTTGAAAGAGCTGATTAAGTTGAGTAATTTGTGCAATTTTCAGCCCTTTGCAAGCAATATTGAAGGAAATATCAGCCATCAAAAACTGCGAAATTACTGTGTGGCAAAAAAGTTAATGAGCCATACATTCTCTGTAAAATTTCGAGTATTTAGAAGAGAATTTCTCCGAAACCATTCGGTGTATTGGGCTCAAATTTTCAGAGATAACTGAAACTGTTATGCCCTTTCAATATTCAGGGTTTTTTTTTAGCTTTATTAGCGTCTTCAGATAGTGATTAACATATATTAATGAGGCAAAAAGTGTAAACAAAGATTCACCTGTTACTTATAATAATAATTGATAAACGTTCAGTTTTGTTATTTACCTCTCCTCCGACACAGCCCCACAGTTTTTATGTTATGTCAGGTGACAGCTGTCACAACAGGGTATTCGCTGACTAGTGTCATATGACTGCATCGCAGGTTCAGGTATGACAACTCATTATGAAGAGACGAGTTTTTTAGTTCTTCTGACTTAGAGTTATTGGTTTCAACTGGCCGCAAGCCCAGGTCCATTTCTTTTGGGAGGAGTTCAGTTTGCTTCTTGATTATGGCGAAAGTTAAATTACTTCAGAAAGACATTTTTCAAAAGATCCATGTATCATAAATACCTTTCAGTTTTTTAATTCACTTCTTCACCGACACAGCACCACAGTTTCTTTAGCTCTGAATAGGAGCTGCTAGCCACATGGTGACTCAAAATTCGACAACAAACTGTCGTCATCATTCGATGCAAATTTTTATTCCTTTTCATTGGCCCACCACGTGAATGACTACGAATAATGGTCTGCTCATGCGCTATATCTCCAGCTGTGTTTGGCTTTAAATAAGTTTGGCTGCAAGTAATATGTTTAGTTCTGTTCATGCGTAAATGAAACCACGCTTTTCTCCTTCTTGCGATTGCTCTTGCGTGAAAATGACGGATCGCTTCATTCCCGAAGATATTCATTAAAAAACAAATTCGATGATCGAATGACACTGAAACAATTATTATGTTAATTGTTGCTATTATTCAAATTTATAGTATTATAATTATCATTATTGTTATCTAAAATAATTGAAATTGTTATTATTATTGTTCTCTTTGTAGGGTGTAAGCGAGATGTCAGGGTTAGGATCAGGATCAGGAATGGAAGAAAGGTCAGGGATGGGGAATTACACTGAACCGGATGAGCCAGACTCGGGAGGAGACGAGTTTACCTATGAGTCCGAAAAAACGGCGAAGATGATCATGATTGGCCTCTACGTCATTATCTTCTTGTTCTCCTTGGTTGGCAACTCCCTCATCATTCATCTTGTCCGCACCCGTAAGAGTATTCGCAAGAATCAGTTCTACTGGCTCATTCAGTCAACACAGCTGTGGCTGATCTCGTTGATGTGATCGCAGCTTCCGCCGTTTCCATTTTGATCTTCGGATTTGCAGATCAACCGGATCTAGGAGTATTTGGAACAGTGTTATGCAAAGGCTTACCATATTTGTTGGTTGTCTCCATTTGTGCTGCCATCTGGACGCTCACAGTCATTGCTGTTGATCGATACCTGGTTATTGTATGTCTCCGAAGACGGGCCCAGTCGTCCCGGTCAGTGCTGCGTTCTATTATTACAGTTTGGCTGTGTGCTGCATTAGTATCCAGTGTGTTCCTGTACAAATACAAGACAGAAAAGAATGAAGATGGAACTATACAATACTGTTATGAAGAGTGGCATGAAAATGAGGAGATGAACAACACTTTTTTCAACGCAGAAGTGATTTTGAAAGTTGTCCTGACCTATGCAGTTCCACTCGTTGTCATAGCAATCTTGTATTTTCTGATCTCCAAGTTTCTTTGGACGCGCAAGCCACCAGTGAGTGACGTAAATCAACAAGCTTACATCAAACAAGTGAAGAAACGTAAGACGTTGATCAAAATGTTGATAACAGTTGTCACGGTGTTTGCCGTCTGTTGGTTCCCTATACACGTCAGTCACATAATGCCTGAGTTTTACCGAGACGAATACTTCGATATTCCAATGGTTTTCAGATGGCTGTTCTTCTGGCTTGCGCATGCCAATGCTGCAATTCATCCCTGGCTGTTTATTGCTTTTGGTGAACATCTCAGACGAGGAGCAAATGAGATATATTGGCATCTCCTAAACAAACTGAGATTGTGTACCGGGTCCACTCCAAATCCAGGCACCAACGATAATCCTCTGCCCAGATGTGTCACCCCAAAAGGCCACGGTCGTACTGCTGAACAAGATACCTGAGGACGCAGCATGGTGGACGCTAGAGCCATATTGTACAGGGCAACCGAATGTATTTCGTCATTCTTGTAAGTCGGGATATAGGACTCATAAGAGATAGTTGTTATTAATATTTCAAGAGCATTAAGCCTAAAAGTTGTCAATTCATGCCATGACCTTTTAAGATGGTCATTTCCATTTTGAAGCGTATTTATCGTCCATAGTTAAGTTGCAAGTGAAAAGTTTTCCGCAACAAATCTTTTTAACATGATATCAAGTTAACGAGCAATAAAAAAGTAATACATTAAAGAACTAGATTTTTTAAGAGACATATTTGCTGGTGTATTATCTTTTATCTTATGCCAGTTCTAACCGATTAATTGTATTTTAATTCATATTCTGCTGGTTGCAATAAATTGTCCTGTTACAGTAACCGGCTGCATCTAGTTGAAACTTTGCTTGCTGACTATTCATTGAAGGCTGTACTAGATTATAGCTTAAATGCAATTGCACTAGTTGTTTCGAAGCTAACTTCTTCGATTCTTCTATCGAAGTTATATGGCAAGCCAAATATGCTAATATTCAACGCAAAGTTGCTGCACCGATCAATTTGAAACTTAAACATGCCCCCGGGTACCCCCTAGGCATTTGAAGTTTTTAACCCGCACGCCTGTTCAAATTCCCGTTACATTAGCCCAATTTAGTGGTGAAATGTCCCTCCCAAGAAGAAATGTTTTGCAGAATGTGAATTTACAAATAGACTTTAGAGAATCCACGTGACGTTGATTGACAGTTAAACTACAAAAATTAAACATTCGACTCCAAAAAGCATACATTTAGCTTTGAATGTTTTCATGGCAGAGCGGAATAATTTACACGCGCCCAGATTTGCAAGATGTTCTGAAGGGAATGTCCCGGTTTCACGGTAACAGACTGAGAGCAGCGCTAAGAGAGGCTCTTTAAGTTGGGTACTTTTACTTGATTTCTTCGACCTGTCAGTCTCCACGGACAGGTTATCACTTTACAACTTCTTGGCAAATTCTTTGGCCTTTTCGAATTAGGAGGTGGCGGCTCTATATAGAGTGTTTTCACTCACGTGGCCAGCATCTATGCAAATTTATTGGAACAAAAGAAAGCGTTTACATAAGAAAAGAGTTCAACTCCCGAAGGATTGGATTGGGACACCAACATGGCCGCTGTTCATTGTTTTGGGACACCAATATGGCCGCTGTGACGTCATGTGAAAACACTCTATAAGAAATCCTTGGTAGTCGAAGGGAAAGGGGGCGGGGGATCCTTGAAGGGACACAGTCAGCTGATGCACATGCGCATTAGATAACATTTCTTAATTAGCTGATTTGCATGTCACAAGACGCGCGTGAAAAAAAAAATTGTATCCCGGCGGAGTACTCTAAACAAACTTTGTAGAGTTGAACTATTTACAAGCCAAAATCGTAACTATAGGCCCTAAGCCATATCAGAGCACTCATTTTTTTATATACCATTGAGAATTCACCGATGGATTTTTCCAGGGAAAGCCAAACATCGACGAATACTTCGGAATTCGAACATCAGTATAGGTGTAACCTGTTCCAGGCGTTCAGATAGTAGAGAGCGGCGGTCAGTGGGGAGCGAGTTAAAATGACAAATTGCACGATTCATTTCTACTTGTTATTTTGGTAAACGAAAGCGATTTCTCCCGCCTAGCCCCTACGCGTTTCTCACGTCTTCTGTTCACGTTCCTTTGAATACTGTTCTTAACCAAATACATGATAAAATAATGAAATAGGATGAGCAAAACTTTGCTCAAAAAGAGATTTTCAGTAAAAGATCGAGGACCAAATGAAACACTAGGCAGGATGAAGCGGATTTCTAGATGTATCCGACGCGTAGATTTGATTTCTGGTTGAGGTAAATGCTTTTCAAACAGGAAAAAATATATTGTCCAGGTCAGCGCGGTCCCATAGTTGACTGTGTCCCTTTTCAAAAGCTTACTATGTTCCAGTACTTTCTGCACTGTTGCATTTTCTAGTTGTCAAAAAGGTCGTTTATAATAATAGACTCCTTCACCTGTTAGCCTTCTATGTCCGGAAGAATGCTTGTCAACTTTTTTTTTATGATATAATAGGACGGACTTTATTGGCATAAATTTTTTCATATTCTCAAATATTAAAAAGTATTAAGGTATACTTATAAGTCGGTGAATACATTAGAATATTGTTTACATTGCAATTAAGGAACGCATTGTATAACTGGGTTCCGCCGGCAGGTATGATCAGATACCCATGTGATCGTCCTCTGTGCAGTATGAAGATCAGGTTGTCCTTCGTAAAATACCTTCGTTCTCAGCTTCTCAGCTTCAAGCAAGATAACCTGTCAAGAGTAAGGCTTATTTATGAGAGATACAATAGAGATAACAATCTTTCCTTAGCTGCACTACAGCAAATTTGTGGCATTCAATCTCTGGAGAGGTGAAATAATCCTAACTTCTCACAGATTTGGATGCAGATAGCGCCTGACCAGCAGAAAATAACTCCCGACTAAGAGTTCCAGATACGAGTCCCGCTCTGGGTATAGTTGCTGGATTTGTTCTCGGTTGTCTGGAGTTCAAATCCTCGGCCATGCTTGTAAATAGCCAACTAGATGCCTCCTTGGGGTTTTTAAATCCTGTTGTGTTCTATTTGGATTATTTGTTTCTAATTATTTGAGTGGAGTGTCTGTAATCTAGCTGGATATATAAAAGCTAAGTGAACTTTCCACTATTTAACAATCCGATCTCTCGTTTACTGTCGCCCTTACATGTTAACGAACCTTTTTCAGCTGAGCTCATATGCATGTGTCCTTGTCCTTGTCCTGTCCTAACTTACTCCTTCAACTTACGAAACCTGGATAAAAAATAAGAGAAAGCGAAAAATTCGGTCAGCCAGCCAAGATGGCTGCTTAATCCACAGCTTCAAAAGGTGATATAATCTCATAAATCCATCATTATGGGTCTTAAAAAGAACTAAAGCTACTGATATTCCTGAAATAGTTGATTTTGAAGATCACTGGGATAAACTCGAGACCAAATTGTATTCATTGGGTGAAGTCATCGCTCCCGAACATCGTTGCTAACTTGTACATGGTTACATCTCTTCTGCTGAATTTCGAAGATCCTTAACTGAAAGTTTATTAATATTTATATATTATTACTACTTCTTGTAAAAAAATGACTTGCAGAATGTGACATTGTGATAGCAAGGCTAAGCCTTGTTCTTGACCTTGACCTATGCCATATAAGAGTCTGGCTTCGGCACTCTGAATTGTATTTTACTGTAATTATGTGCTTTGTAACAACTAAGATTGATTAATTAAAGTTATAAGTTATATAGTCTTGGGAGAAGAGTTTTGCCCCGCGTAACATTTGAAAAAGACGTAGCCTGCCAAATCAGCTTTCTTGCCCCTTTTTATCGGGAAACGTTGCTCATCGCGCAGTCGACCACAGAAAAAAAATAAAATCACTGTTACCAACCAACATGAGATTTTTCTCGTATATATTCGATTCCCAGGGACTTCAAGGGGTAGTCACTCGGGGCTGACGGATTAACTAAGGCCATTTGTCGTTACCCTCAGAAGAAGTGAGATAAAAAGCCTGAGTTTTGCTTTTATAGGTGCATCAGGTGCATGTTTAGGGGTTTTCAAATCATTTCCATGCTTCTCACCGATTCGTGGGTAAACCAAAAACTAAAAGCCGGCTGACTTCAACCTAGTACTAAAGGTAAATCAAAATATGACAACATGAATTGTTGCTTACTGCTGTTTTAAGTAGATGAACATAATCGACAGCACGACTTAGAAAACAGTAAGAGCAAAGATGAAAATGCCGTGCATGAGGAAAGCTTCCTGATTGGTCATGATCTCTGGCATGATGGTATTGGGCTCAGGTTCAAGGGTGGATTTATACCAGTGAGGCTCATTCTCAGGAGTATTGAAGGGTCTCTCTGGCCGTGGCTCCCCAGTTGCAATTTGGGCAGATTTAGGCTCGGGATCTTCCAATAGGCGTCGAAGATGAAACATGGCTATCAATAAATACCTTTTATCAGAGCCAAGTACTACGTGCTTCTTACTTGAAATTAAGGACTGAATATCTTTCTGCGATGTAGCGCCCAGCTGGATAAACGCGCGAATGTTTTTCTTTTTTCTTGGAATAAGAAGTTAACTGTATTAAGCGCAATGATATTAATGTGATGATGAATGTTTTATTTCTAAATTAAAAATTAATTGAATGTAGAGGGGAGATTGAAGACAAAAAAAGACGACGAAAAAAAAGCCCAGGTCGGAGCTACCAGACGTACCGGTATACTGACGGTTTCCCCTTTGAGGCGTTGCTGTACATAAAAAGCAACTTCACGGTTTATAATTTAGAAAACCGCAAACATTTAAACCTCAAATAAACTCCGAATAATTCGACAAATAAACAAGAAAACGGTGACTGTCGATCGATGGTTGGATGTTGATCTATAAACTAACTACTTATTTGAAATGATAACATCCTAATCGAATGGACGAAGAAAACCAGTGTAGAGAATTATTTTTTTAATAATAATTCTCTTAGTCTAGTGAAATGATTTTTCAAATTCCTCACACCGATTTCTTGCCAAAGTATCTGACTGTTTTTCAAGACTGAGTGGAAACTTTCATGTCCTCTTTCAGAGGGTGTTGTAGGCCAAGACACAGCTAGCTAATTTCATGAAAACACCGTGGGAACAGCCATTCAATTCTTTGCGGAAAGCTGTTGTTGTTTACATTGAAGATCGAGGTTTCATTTGCCAGCTTGCAGATAACATTGTAAAACTATCTGTTACCAAGACAAAATGGACTAGATTTTTGGTTTGTTGATTTGTTAGTTGGCTACTTTTAAAATTTGGATTTAAATATATATATTTTTTCTAGCCCGGAAAGTTACAGGGACTTTCAAGAAAGGGGCTCCAGGTGACCTGTTCAAATTACTGAAAGTTAGCTTATTTTGCAAGGAGTGAAACAAA